ATCATGCCATGTCTTCCTGACGGTAGGGGTTTGACTGAAGGTCTTTGCTCCCCTGAAAATCTGTGAGTCCAAAGGCAACAAGTGTGGAAGGGCACGCATGTTGCTGGTTGAAACTTGTCCCTCTCAGAGATGTGAGACACCCAAATTCTACCTAACGCGGGACCTACTCAGCTCCACTCCAATTAACATGGCTTTCTCAGACTTTAAAGGAAAAAAAGTCCATATAAAGGCTGGGGCATCACACAATACTAAATTCAAAGACTACATCCCAACTTGTACTCACACAAAGTGAACTTTCAGCATTTTCCAGATGCTTTCTAAATCCATCATTCCCCCAGAAAAGCTCAGCAACACAACTGAGTGCGGCATTATTTTGTGGACATGACAAAACTGCAAAGACATGGGAAGATAACCAAGGCCAACACAGAGAAACTCTACCTCCTGAGACTGGAATCATTTTGAAAGACCCAATTCCAGTTGAAGCAAAAACTTTGACCTTTCATCCAAGTGAGGCCTTGGGCTCTTCAGATCTGCCCTTGCCCCAGCTACGTCCTTCCTTCTCTTTCCTGCGATGCTACCGTTCCACAGGTATTCACTCACTCACCTGACACGGTCATCTTTGGTACAGGACTTCTTTTGGCCGATAACTCCCCTCCACCCCAATCAATCGTAATGTAGATCTTGGATCTGTGCTGAAATATAACTAAATTAACTCTGTCAAATTCTTAAGGATTCTACATTATGAAACTACCATTTTAGGGTCTCCGTCATGATCAAGTAGCATATCATTTGAAGTTCTGAAAATGTTTCAATACCCTTCAGGCATGAAATCTTTCGATAATACTAAGAGCTGACATACTATAATAATGTTCTCATACCATAAACATTTTTATTTGCCTGCTTCGAAAAATAAATCAGCATAGGAGCCATCCTCTCCCCCACTCTCACACCTTTCTAGGACTTAAATCATGGAAGATAGAAAAATCTCCCCGTGCCCGTCCCTTGTTTTTCTGGGTGGAGGATGGCTGCAGTCAGATGCTTTCCACACTCACCTGGACCATTGGGTGGGTCACACAAAACAAGTTTGTCCCCCGGGTTTTCAGGCACCTCTTCTCCCGACCCCACTAAAATGAATGTAAAACAGTGGGCATATGGTTGTAAACAAAAGAAACTGTGTTACAATACAAATATGATGGCTGTAGTTGGATCATCAGAGCTACGCTTTTTGGAAGAAAAGCAACATAACAAAAAGATGTAGAAGTTCAGAAATCGCTTTATGTGGCACCGTTTTGAAAGTCAAAACACTCCTTTCTAAAAGAAAGATGTACATGCAGCCAGCAAGTATTTATAAATATCAAAAAGTGTTCCCACACAAGCATTATGAGAGCCAAATACATCCAAAGTATTATCGATCATGAATTTAACTGGGGCAAGGGTACCGCAGATAAAATGTGCAAACATACGGTCAGATTTTTAAAGGAGACGGATGTTCAACAATCTTGCCAGAATTCTATAAACAAAGCTATGATTTACCTCCAAGCAAGGACTTATTGTAAATAATTACCAACAACTATCTTGCTTTGTGAGTGATTTTTCCCTGTGTTGTCCAGTTAATGTTGAAAATCTAACTCATATCACATATTAGATGGAAGGACAATTCCCAAACCTGTGGAATCTAAAACAGGAGAGAACAGCATTTTTAATCAATGGTTCTGCGGCAGACTGTAGGACCGTAAGCTCCAGTAAGCACATGCTTTCCAAAAATACTCAAGGAGGAAGTAAGGACACAGGAAAGTCTACATAATAACCAATTATCCAAAAAAGGAAGTGAAGTATTCCACATCTGTCCAACTTTGTGTATATAATTAACTCTCTGCAACCTGCTGACTTTCTAAGTGGAATAAGTCATAATTAGAATAACCAAAGGGTAGGGCATGCACACATATTCGTGCACGTGCATACCCCAACTTTTGTTCATGAAAATTTAATTGAATGAAAATTACGAAAGCCTGCCATTGCTATTTAAATTAAAACCTGGCAGAAGACTAGAGTATTTCTATCATTAGCGGCCAGTGACTAATTTTCCCACGCATCTAAGGCTTAGATGGACTGAGCTCTCAGTGCGGCTTTCAGCTCAGTTCAAATAGCAGATCCTCAAAGAAGTCTTCCACACCTTCCCCTGCGCCGAGTCCACAGGTCACCCCGGCCCAGCTCTAAGAACTCAGGGAGCACTAGGCTCTCCTTTCACAACATCTCTCAAACTGCAATGAAACAATTAACTGTGTTAAGTATACACAACTGTATACAAGTGGATAAATGCATATCATTGGTTGTTTAATGTAAGTCCCCCCTCTACCAATATAATACGAAAGTTCCTGTGTTCTGTTCCTTGAATCACGTAAGCATTGAATAAATCCATGCTGAGTGAGTAAGTTACAGTTACTGCTTCATCCACCTTAATCAAGAACTATCACCGAGGAAACCTGGAAGAATTAGGTATTTCTGAAAGCTCTGCAAAAACAATTCAGCTTTTGTCACTGGGACACCAGTGCCTGAGTCACTCTCTAAGGTGGCCCAGTCGTTCCCATGTTCTTTTCCAAACACTTCGAAGTTGATGAGAACATTCCTCTCCCTATCCTTTCTTTGTACAAACCCACTGGTTGAAGTTAAATTCATCTGTTATTAATTATTGATACCCTTCATAGAGCCTAGGGAAACAACTTCTAACTAAAGTGGTTTTCAGTAGCACGTATACGGTGTAATATGTCGCATCATAAAAGAAAACAAGAGAAAATTATTTAAGACAACCTTGGAACATTTCAACTGCAAAAATGTAATTGGCATTTCAATCACGTTGGCCACTTGGTGTTTCGTTTGGGGGACACCCTGCAAGTGTTTCCAACATTCATGAAATTTGTTCCTTATCGAGACAGGGGGAGGTGGCCTCACATTGGCAGCAGGACCAGGATAGAACCTTGAGCATCTGACATGGAGTGTGGCCGCTTCCTCTGCAGCAGGGGCTGGGGCTCCCTACTCTCAGGGGCCGCCGTTAGCAAGAATCAGTGTCTTCCCATCTCCAGGGCTCGTGCCACCACCAACCATCCACTTTATTTTTTGCTCCATCTGTCCTAAATATCTTTTCCCCATCTCATGAGCTTTCCCCATCTCATGCTTTCTGCTTACTCACAGCTCTGCTTACTCTCGACTTCCTCCTGCTTTCTCTATGTCTTTTAGCTTTTAATAATCAGACCAGTTAACCAACCTGCTCTATACTGTGAACTTGGGCTCCTCAGGGAGACGTGGACAGGTTCAGTGACCATCATTCCTGTTGGGCAAAGTTCTTGTGAGGCTCCTATCAAGGGCTCCTGGGCATGCTATAGATGGGTCACCTCCATCCAGCCGCCTGTCATGAGTGGCGAGATAACAGAAGTTAATAAGGGCCACGTGGCCTTGGGTAGAAACCCTCTGGAAAAAGTGGGCTGGCTCAAGAACCAGAAACGAGTCCATTTTAAAAGCAATTGAGTAACTAAATTTGGAATGCAGAAAAGTTCCTTATTTTCTCAAGTGAAATAACAGCCATTCAGATTTTGCTAATTTCTCTATTTTAGTCTATTATTCTCTTTCATGTTTGCTACTTTTTTAAAAAAGTGAAAGCAAAGATCAAAATGCCACAGTATAAATACAAAATCAGTAACTGGGTCCTTTGTTCTAATACTGACTTTTCACCCTTTAAACCCATTTTCTCATTCTATTTTTCATCAGAACTCTGCTGCTCCCAAGTACAAATATAAATGGACAAAGGCCTGAGAATTTTGCTTAGAACTGCAGAAAGGAGTTGAAGTTCACACTTGGACCATATCCAGTTTTCTGCCATCACAAAACTCTATTCAGTCCCCCTGCTTAGGAGAAGCAAATTACATAAAGAAAGGAACAAAACTTTCCTTTTATCTATTTTTCAATTTATTATGTATAAGTATTTTTGTAAAAAGTTACTTTGGTAGACTTCTAGTGGTCACGTATGTCTCAATTACCTGTACAACTAACTTCACAAATTTTTAAGTTAATAAAAATACAAGCATAGTTTATCCTAAACCTAAATTATTTTAATTCAGAAAAAAAAAAATCTTACTAAGTTACTCATGTCTCTGTGGGTTGGGTTCCAAAGAGTAAAATCTGTGAGCATGGTGGGGAAAAAAAACTTTGAGAGAGAGAAAAAAAAGTAAATTCTTCAAATAAATAAATGAGCAAGCTGTTTTGTCATTTGAAATATTATCAGTATGTTTGCTGATTAATATCATACAAATATTCATTTCATACTTTTGGAATATGAGAAACACAAAATTCAAGATTATGAAGCGTGTTTACTCTATAAGCAAGAGTACTGAATGTGTCATCAGCAGAGTTTATCAGTTTACAATTAGGAGGGTTTAGGCACCATCAAAGAGGAACTTCTACAAGATAACACAATAAAGCTAAGATCCTAGTCTCAGCAGATTTATATGAGGGCAAAAAAGGAAGTAACTCACTTTTTCCAACTATGGGAAACAGGAAGAAAGCAATTCTCCTCTATGATAAATGAGCCATTCTGAGCTGGGAAATCAGAGCATCTCCCTGTTTCATGCACTCCGTTTGTGCACTTCCTATTCTTTGCTGCAAGCTGTTTCTTTCATCTTACAAATACAAGAAAATTAAAACTGTACTATTGAGGACATATGAGGAATTTAATCTTGAAAGAGGTGAACTACGATGATGTATTACTATAGTACTCTGATATAAAATCAGAAGGAGACTGAGCTTGCAAAAGCATAATATTGTTATCATTTAAAGCTACGTTTATTTGGGGGAAGAAGACACATTCTGAATGACTCACCAAGGTTAGTGCACTGAGGCCACCACAGACCTTCGAGGCCATTTGACGTGAGTTGTCTCGATAAACCCATACCCAGGGTGTTATCAATGACCCCTGCTCCAAGAAACCAAGGTGAGAACCAACAAGTGGAACCATTTTGTTATATCCTGCATTTATTTAAGCAAACCGAATGTGTAGAGATAGGAAATTAAAGCGTTATCATGTTTTACAAATACAGAAAGAAGACACAGAATAATAATACCCTGGAGAGAGCGCATCTGAGAACGCGTTTCTATCACAGGAGAACACTTGCAGGGACCACTTGGAAGCCAAGGCCGATGCATCCATCTGTCATTCTTGTTCTGACATCGTTGACGTCGTTTTAACAGATAAATCAGCGATCTGCTCTTAAACGAATGGTAATACTAACGATTATGGTAGCCGTGAGGGGTTTGTGAGTAACTATCTATACATACATGATGCTAGGCTTAATGTGTTATTTCAATGCCGCTGTACATTATGCAGGGGGAAATAACGTCTTGTTACACAATTCCTGTGACATCCACTAAAATGTGAACTAGTTTGCATAGGTTAGTCCTTTGGGCAGCACGATGTTGCTCTAGTCCACCAAGGCTTAAAGATTCACAGTGTAGAGGAAAAAAACATGAATTAAAGCATTTCTACTAAAATATATTTTAATAGCTGGTGTTAACAATTTGCATAACAAAAGCCAGATTATATTAATAACATTGTATTGTTCTGTAAGCCCCTTCATTTTAAAAACATGAAGCGTTTCCTGTAAAACTGTATGCTCTCAAAGTTAGTACAATCTTGCAAATTAATCATCAACCACAATTCTACATATTTTGAGGCAAAGAGAAGCCAATCTGCACAATGATTCAATTTGGGGTTTTAATCACAGGTCAAAGACCAACGGTCCCACACCCCTCCTGTAACACGCTCGGTGCTGCTTCTAAATGCTCAGCAGTTCGTTGCGCGAACACCGAGGAAGGGAACTCTGATGCAGTTTTCTCTTTTCCTTTAAAATAAATCATTCTTAACAGCAACTGGATTACAAAGAAGTATATACTATGCAAATTGAATACCACATATCAAACACAAAAAGCCTATGGAATTCCCACGAAGATACTGAAGTAACACGGACAACTGGGGAGGAGGTGTGCCTTAGGGATCCTTCCAGGCTTGCGGAACAGGGAATGATGGCCACAGAAGCATCGTACAGCGTCTTGACTTTTTTGGATCAGCACTGGTTGGCAGTGCCTGGAAAGAACCCTAATGGGCACGGAATACTTCAGAAAGAGACCTTCATTTTAGCATTCTTAACTTGGTTTACACAGCTTCTTATTAACCCAAGCTTTCTCACCTCCATGTCGAGTTACCCCAAACAACCGTACTCTAGCCACTTTCAGATTATCAGAAGCAAACAGCTAAGGTATAATGAATTTATGAAGTGAATTTCATCTTATGTAATGAATTCAGCCTCATAACATAACTCTTCTATCTTACAATAGGTATTTTAAATCTCAAACCTAAAGTTAATGTTTATGCATCTCAACTATATATAAATCCACAAAGAACCTTTCAGAAATAGACGGAAGAAGTCAGTATTTTCTAAACCTCTAGAGGTAAAATACAATCATCTATCACCTTTCGTATCTGTCAGGAGCATCTCACTTCCCCACCATAAAAAATACCAATCATATAATAAAATATTACTATAGAATAGGCAGAAGCTTGCTTGCTTGGTTTTCTTTTCAAGACCATAGTGAATAAACAAGGGTAATCATAAAGGCACCTATATATTTTTTATATCTCTGTATTATAATTTTGGTATAAACTATTAATATATCCACTTTATATAGGGAGGTGTTATTAAAGGATTTTCTTTATCTTTTCTTTATCTTTTCATTAATAACATTCTACTGGAGATGGACAAACCTGAAAAAGAGGTGCACCTTGAGCTTCCACTGTGTGTTTAGAAAAGTCTGCTTCCCAAATCCCAGAGTGTTGTCTAGCTCAACACGGAGGATAAGGAATGAAAGACTGTGGCGAGACTGGCGAAAAGGTATCTTCGTCATCCTCATGCAATGAACCTGGTGGCAAGAGAGGGGCTGGTCTGATCGCATCCATATTCATACAGGGTGCTCCTGGGAACTGTGCTTGCAAATTCCTGTGTGGTGTCTGAGGTGGGGGAGGCCTGAGAAGATGCGGGGACAGCGCGGAGATCTGACAACCAGATAAATATTTCAAAGTGGGCTACACTGCGGATGTGTAAACAATAACAAGAAGACAATGAAGACTTTGTCTTGCCACAGGTTAGAAATAGAAAGCTCTCCCAGAGAACGAGAATTAGTAAAAACGCCTACTACAAAAACTTACACCAAAAGCAATATATTCTGTTGCCATGCTCTTCTCAAGAGAGAGATGATCCACGTACAGTTGTGTTTTCGGAACTTTGAAAAGCGTATCGAACTGCCCGTGTGCTTTTATCAGGATTGAGAACACGTTTAGAAAATCAGGTGCCTGCTCTCTGTGCTTGGGCACATACACAGTCTTCTTTAACTTGATTTTTAAAAGGACTGTTTTTGAAACCATTCTTGAGCTGTCAGCATTATATGTAGCATCTGCCCGCTGCCAAATCGACGGCGAGAGGGGGAGTGTGGAAAGGGGAGAAGTTGTCCGAGAATACAGTTTTGAAAATGATGCTGTAAAAATAGCGCTTTGGTTTTATACATCTATTGTTTCCTATATTTCTGCTGAGATGCTTAATATCCTGACAGGCTTTAGTAATGGTGACAACACTATCAAATCATAGCATCAGCAACATGTGCAACTGGTTCTCCCTCAGTCTTTATTGTAAAATAACTGCTCTCTAGTTAAATTCTGATCCGATCTTAATTCCTGAAGGCTGAAAAGGAGAAACATTTTACTATGCAAACATTATGTGAGGCTTAAAATTTTAGGAGAATTATTCCCCAAATAAGTATTGACGTTTACATTCAGTGAATCTGATTTTGAAATCAGTGGATGAGAAAAACAATGAAACATCAAGCTGTTACTTTATGGTTACTTCCCCGATTATAATCATCATTTCAAATCGGTTTCCTTTGAGCTTCCTATAAATGTGCTATTTATCAAAAATTGTACCCGTCTTACATTTCCTCTACAAATTTAATCAACAACTACTCTTTTATAATCACAAAAAAGTAGTCTGTCTGGGTGAATCTTAAATATTTACTTAATGGTATAATAAAATTAATAAGCAAGCTTATTGCCCTCAGTTTTAATGCACAGAAATTTTTGCAAGAATATTGCAAGTTCCGCTTGTCTTTGCAGGTTTTTGTATAAGACACCAAGATCGATATGGGGTTTAATCAGATGAATCACAACTGGTCATTTCAATGACAGAAAATCAGCTAAGCTGGCTATGTGGTAATATGTAAAACCCCCTCAAAAAGTCTCTAGTTATTTGCCTGAATTTTTCCCTTTTCAATTTTACATCGGTGTCATGTAGATGCAGCTTGAATGTAATAAACCTTATTTAATTACTCTTTTAGCCCGATGAAAATAAGACTACAGATTCTCAAAACGATGTGCTTACTTTTCAAAGGTGTAAATGAATTAACATTTGCCTTTGGACCAATAAACATTTCAGTAAAAGATGTTTTACAGCATATTTTGTTAATTTCTTTGAATATATTATTAAGGCAGAAAGCCCCAAGGCCCATACATTTGATTACATTTTTGTAACTTTACTTTTTCAGTTTCATTACAGCTACAGAGTCAGGCCCTACATGACTGCTACCTTGTTGCAAGTCTCACTAAGGGCATGGTCAGAAAAACACAGAGTTGCTGATGGACCTTAGTCTCTCCAGTGATCTTGACTGTGGACTCCAGGTTAAACTTCACGACATGACGGTCACGGCTGTGAATCCAGCCAGAGCCTGCAATGTCACTCATTTGGAAATGAAAATGTGACAACGATCTCTTTTTAAATGAACAACCTGTTGGGCCTGTACCTCAAATCTCTGGTGACATCCCAATCTCACCCCTGGATGTGATTTACAAAATAAAAACCAGAAAGTGGAAAGGAAGTCTTTTCATTAAGCGGTTTTAGTGGCTAGATTCCCATTCCAGAATCTGAATACCATTTTCCCAAATAAGAAACCAGATCACCTGTCTCTGTGTGCGGAGCTGGTAATCTTTTGTTCGCTGGCTTCCCCCAGCACACTTCGTATTCCGACTTTGTAACTGGCTTTTATGAAGTTTTCTTTGCTTTTAAATCAATAGCGGCATTAAGTTAATGAAAGCTGTTCAATAAACACCTAAATCACTTATTTGCTAGAGTATACATCTATTTCCTAAGGTGTAAATCCTTCAAAACTAGAGTGCAGTGCGGCAAGAGAATCTCAAGCAACTTTTCAAGTTATGTTTTTCTGATGAGCTGGCAACTAGAGGAAAGGGCTTTTAGATATCGGCCACACTTTTTGTTTTAATAACAGGAACAGGCAGTGCAGCTGCCTATGTTACAGAAGCTTGAACCTACATGACATGCAACAGGGTAAAGGCTATTAGTATCAGGGAAATAATATAGATGACCTTAAAATTTGCCCTTTGTAGAGTAGCTGTGAAGTAATTTGGTCCTGACATTCTAGGCAGCCAAGCATATACTTAGGTCCATAGAATGTAAATGGAGAGTAGGATACACCTCGGTACAAATGAGAAATAAACAGACCCAAGTTGGCCCAGGGAACAAGGAAATTTCTTTGTTCGGTAGAAGTTTCTAGATCCCTAAGGCCACCAGTCAATATAATTTTAACCAAACTGTCATTCTGCCACTGCTTACATTTAATATATTTAGGCAATTTTCACTTGAATTGGAAATTGTGTCGTGACTCAAAAGCTAAATGGTTTTTAAATTATCGGCTGTGTTGCTGAATTACGAGGACTGGCTTCTGGTGATTCCAAAGGGACAGCTAAGAAATTTCATATACTTGTGACATTTAAGGGACAAACGTCTCTATTAAACGTCTCTATTAAAGTCTACAAAAATACATTTCCCCAGAAGGGTTCACGATAGCCAATCAAAGGAAAACATTAACACAATTAGCAGCACCAGGTCTCCAGACCTAATTATTTTGTTTATACGAATTACCGAAAATGCTGCTGTTTTCAGCCCAGAAGTCATTCCTTCTTCCTGGTACCTGCGTGTCTAATTGTCAAAGGAAGGATAGATTACTGTAAAATAACTGCCAAGTTGTCTTAAAAGTATCTTCTACCTTTTAAAAAGATTACGTTTAGTGTACATTAGAACAAAGCTCAAAGGGCAAGGAAAAATGATTAATTAACAAACTCAATGTAATTCGCCGGAAGCATCCCGGTTTTCCCAGTTCTCTGCACCGTGCCGTACATCCAGCCGTCGTCGATGGGCTGCACGTTGACGATGTAGTCGCCATCCCTGAAGGAGACTTCATCTTCATCCTGGGCACTGTAATCGTACATGGCTCGGTAGGTCCTCTGAGGAGGGAAAGACGGGGTCACACGATGGACACCAAGATAGTCACAGCCGCAAATGCGGGTCGCAACAAACCAACCCACGCATAAAGTAACTATCAGGAATCTTCCCAAGCACATCTATTTCTGGAGTCCTGCAAACCAGAGCGTACTGTCTGTCCTGACTGTGTTCATCTCAAGGTTACTAGTCTGGCAAAAGACGTAATACTGGGGGCCAGAGCAAGCCGCTAAATACAATAGCTAGCCCGTCAAAAAGTAAGCTCTGAAGCAGTAAAGCCACTCCCCCAGCTTCAGATAAGCCCAGACACCTTAGATTATGTAGATTCTCCCCTAGTCCACATTCTTCAGAGAACAAAACACACCATAGTGGCAGACAGGTCCAAGTCACTGCCAAATCACTACCGTCGGTCCCCTGGCAGAGACAATGAACTTGACTAAAAATGTTTGTTTCCTCTTAAAAATATTTAAAACAAATAAAAGAAAAAATCCATAATATACTCAATAGGTTTTTGTATCACAGTGATAGAAATCTAGCATATAAATGTCCTGAATATTTAAGTACATATAATTAAGTCCTTGTTACAATGAGGAAATTTTTTAAATGAGTTTTACTATATTTGTTTTCATTTGAGGCCAAGCGTTTAGCTAATGATATCAGACAATCTCAAAATCAATCATAGACTGAGGAAACTGGCTGAGATGCAAAGAACTTTAGAGTGAATAAAGATACCTTACTACCAGTTATAAAAAATAAGTAGGTCACAGACGTGTGACGTATAGCCCAGAAAAACAGTCAATAATATTATAATAACTTTAATGGTGCATAATCCATAAAAACACCAAATCACTATGTTGTACACCTGAAACTAATATTGTAAGTCAACTATACTTCAACAAAAATACATTTTAAAAAAGGTATTTTACAAGCTTAGAAGGGCCACCTCTTTCTAAGTGCACAGGCGAAGGCCAAGGGACTGTGTCGGAAGCCCGGAGAAGCAATTTCAGCCTAAGATGCCACATTTGACTAAATGACCCGGAACACTGCTGCCAAGCCTTACATTCAGTGAATGAATCAGCACTCCAAGATTTCCAGAGGAGGACTCAAAGACATATGCTGGCTGTGTCATTTAGCTCTCAGTGGCCATTCTGATTCACTAGTTAACGTGACCAGATATTTGTGCTTTTTTTACTGAATGAAGACCGTAGTTGACAACTTCCAATCATGAGATAACAATGAGGTTATGGTACTGGTAGAGTCTCTGTATGTTTTACTGTTTGCATGTTTTCTCATCGTGCCTCCCCTTCTCAACGGTCTACCCCTATATGTCTTCCACTTCCTTAGGGAAGCCTGTAAAAATGCAACACATCATCATTTACCCTTTATATAAAAAATGTACCCTATTCAATTCAACTGTATTCTACGTGCATTTACATTCTGGAGATAAAATATGAAGACCAGGGAAGGAGGAACGCTTCAAATGGGCACTTACTAGATTTGGTGAATGCTGCATTGACCTCATGGATGACAAGCTGGTCTGATGCATGTACCCATACCCTTGAGAATGGCTTTGCTGGTAGGCTCCAGGAAGAACAGGTGCTGGGCGTTAAACAGACACACACACAAAGAATCCTTAAACCGAGTCTCGAAGTACCCCTCCCAAGCCCTCAGGTGACCCCATGCTCTGCTAGACATTTCTGAAACCAAATGCCATTTTCAGTGTCATGTGAAATTTGAAGAGTGATATTGTAAGTGATCTCTAGAGCAGTATAAATGTCAGTAATTAAGGACATATACAGGTAATCAGTTTAACATGCAGTTAAATATGTTAGAAATATTTGTATTACACTATTGCAGATGCTATGTTAAAACAACACAAATACAAAACAGAAATTTCCCGCAATCCCTTAACAAGATCCTGTTTTCATTTGGCATGGGATCCTTGTAGGTATTTTCCAAAATAAAAATAAGAAATTTAAAGGAATTTACAACAAGGACCTATTGTATAGCACAGGGAATTATTCTCAATATTTTATAATAACCTATAAGGGAAACTAATCTGAAAAAGAACAGATTTACATATATATGCATAACTGAATCACTGTGCTGTACACCTGAAACTAACACAGCATTGTAAATCAACTATACTTCAATTAAAAAAAAAGAAATTTAAAGGAATTTAATTGGATTGTCACTGACAGGGTATAAGTGTTTTCACAGGATATTTAATAATGGGTGCTTTCAATATTTTGAGACATACTTTTGAGAATATTACCTTTACAAAGGTAAAATATTACTTTTGAGAATATTACCTTTACAAAGACGGTAAACGTAGCATAGGTTTAGCAACAAATGTTTGTTAAGCCTTAAAAGAAAATTTTACTTAGAATATTACAAATTATCCATTTTATTTTTGGCTATAAGTTAGCTGGATAGTGTTAGGAAAGCCTGAGGAACGAAACCACTTAAAGAATTTCGTAAACATTATCCTTCTATAATACATAAAAAAAGATAGTATTCACTTAGTTTGTGCTGTTCTCACCACTAATTAATGACATTCAAAAGACATAGTTCCTGTTTTGAAGAAAACTGAATTCTGGATAAACCAATACAGAAGCTACATAAAACCCTACGAAATCAGTAGTGTGTGTTTAAGTATTTGTAACCAGAATCATGGGCTATAAATGAAGGTATTTTAGTAGGCATGCCCTTCGTTGTGGTTTGAATAATTATATGATGCACTAGTAAAACTTTTATGATATACGTGCTATAAAAACCCACAATAGGTTGCCATCTTTGTTCAATCAGGTTGAGTATATAAAGTAATTATCATGGGTTGATTTATTCAGGACAGTTATAATAAAAGAATAAAGCAGATATAATTCTTGGGTATTATGAATAATTAATATTTTATAAGTGGCACACTCATTCTAATGATATATGAGAACATCAAACTTGAAAGAATTTAATCATCAGAAAATTACAAATCATTAATCTGTTCTCCAGATAATAATGATATTAGGTTAAATGGGGATTTTTTAAATAGTTCTTGAATTAATTCATATTACAATGTTGTTACAACTGTGTTTATTTAATGTCTTTTTCGAGAAAGATCCTTACTTGGATTGTAGTATATTATAAAGTGATTAAACATCAAATATGTCAGAAAACAGCACTTTTTAACATTATCAACTCAATTTGAATATTAACATCAATAGATGTCAAGGATGTTGTCATAATTCCCTCATGAAGAAAAAATACTGGAATTCCCATAAATATCTAGACCTACTTAACTAGCTGAGTAAAAGAGATTTTTCTTGTGTTGGAAGCTGGAAACAATGACCATTCATTTATTTACTCCCTTGACTATCAGCAAGCATTTAAGAGACTTCATGCATGCACAGAGCTTACTACCTTTCCTGTCACTTAGTAAGCTGGCATGGATGTTAACAATAATCACTGCCCACTATGCTCAAAGCATGCAGGTATAAGAGGAGTGACAAAACTAACTGCCCTCCTAGAGCAGTGATGGCCTTGGACATCTGTCCTTTGCCCAATGAAGGAAATGGCTCAGGATACTTAGGGCATTTCCTTAAATACATTATTAGTCAATGACTCCAACTGCATCCCCAGGCCAGCAGTCTTGAACTGGTTTTTAATCCATTTAAAGAAGACATTGCTTCATTATTATTTTGATCTATCTGTAAATACTTAAGATTAAATAAGTAACCCTTGACAAGTAATAAAAATAAAGAATTAAACACTTAATCCTTTGTTACACTACTTAACTATGACCTTTAAATTTTGATGTATAGAATCACGCACAACCATCTTAAAATATTTTGGGGAAAAAATGATCAGGAAAGGATAATGATGAAAAAACTCTTAAATATGTTATCTCATCAGCTGTAATGCGTTTATGTTTACACAGGTTGTGCATGATAATCCCAGTTTAGCACCCATCAGTACTGACAACTCAAGAATGTCGTTTAACAGTGTTCTCTAGATACAGAACCATAATTCAAAAAGACACATGCACCCCAATGTTCATTGCAGCACTATTTACAATAGCCAAGACATGGAAGCAACCTAAATGCTCATCAACCAATGAATGGATAAAGAAGATGTGGTACATATATACAATGGAATACTACTACTCAGCCATAAAAAAAGAAATAATGCCATTTGCAACAACATGGGTGGAAGTCAAGTAAGTCAGACAGAGAAAGACAAATATCATATGATATCACTTATATGTGGAATCTAAAGAATTGGTATAAATGAACTTATTTACAAAACAGACATAGGATCACAGATGTAGAAAACAAACTTAAGGTACCAAAGGGGAAATGGGGGGGGCGATAAATTGGGAGATTGGGATTGACATATACACACTACTATATATAAATAGATAACTAATAAGGACCTACTGTATAGCAGAGGGAACTCTAGTCAATATTCTGTAATAACCTATATGGGAAAAGAATCTAAAAAAGAATGGATATATGTATACGTATAACTGATTCACTTTGTTGTGTACCTGAAACTAACACAACATTGTAAATCAACCATACTCCAATAAAAATTTTTTCAAAAAGAAGAAAAGTGTTCTCTAACTTTGGCTTTTAAAAATGAAAATTCATGCCTACTCAATTGTTCAAATCCGACCTTCAAAAGGAATCTGTAGCTACTGTCAAATACAGAAGGAGAAGAAGGTATTTATCCTAAACACGTGTGGGCTGGAGAGAGCAGGAGAGTTTAGAATGAGAAACCTTGTCCTTACGGTCTCTCCTCATGCCTTGATTGATTATTTCCATCTCCCTCTCTGTTTACATTATTTAATGCAAGTCTCTTTGGGGTTATCAAACTTGTTATCTACCTTATACCTGGTACAACAGAAGATATTTTAGGAAGCTCCTATTAGGACTATGAAAAATATAACTGAGAGCTCAGAGGAATCAACTTACTAAAAGCAAATCCCTATTTAAAAAGAGGCACAGATATTGCTTTTTTATTGTTGTGCTACATGAATGTTTTTTATGAAACATAGGTGAAACAAGCAAAAGGAAATTTCAGGTAATGGCTTTGGAAATTGGGTTTATTATGGATTTGGCTAAAAGATAGCTATTCCACGTGAGTATGAGACATTGTCCACAAAAATATGGAATTCAATGGGTTTTTGCAAAAGCAAGATGTTAGGCTAATTTTGCAACAAACAAGTACTTCTTATGAAAGAGAAAAACACACAGTGCCCTCCTTATTAAACTAGTGGTCAGACAGCATGAGCATTTTTTTTTTCTTTTGGCCGCACAGAGCGGCATACGGTATCTTAGTTCCCCCTGACCAGGGAATGGAACCCGCATCCCTTGCTGTGGAAGCACGGAGTCTTAACCCATGGGCATTAGTACAGATGGTGGTAAAGGTATGATGGTCTTCCAGCCCAAGAGTCTTGAGGTTGAGCAGTTTCTATTTCAATAGCATAAAAGCCACAAAACAGTGGCTTTCATTATACTAAGGCAACAACAAAACACAAAAGTGTGACAACTTTCATTTCACATTCGTAAGATTTATGGACCAGAGGTCTGGAAGATGACTAAAGCTCTGAGGGTTTCAGGCTCTATTTGAAATGTCCTATAGTATTTATAAAACTGAAATCTCTCTTCTAGTGCACAAAAAATTCTTACATAAACAGCCAACACTAATATTTTCTAATTAAGGCTTATTCTTATGATTGAAGGAGGTAAAGTCAAGACAAAGAAAGAAGTAAGTAGACAGGAAGATCATAAAACAGAAGGTAAAAATGGAGGAAGGAAAATTTTTAGGAGCCTTCAGAAATCTGAAACTGGAAAAATAAGGAAATACATGTAAACATACAAAGATTGGAGTAAATGAACCACAGAAATTCACCCAAATTAAAAGCAGAAAAAGCACCCCAAAAATGTCCACTCTGGGGAAGGTACCCAGAGCAGATGGGAGAAGAGAAAGAGAATTATGGAAGTGTCCTCCGTATGCCTGTGCTTTATGTATCGCCCCTTAATTAACAGAATAACTCTCTAATACAAGTGTCATTCCCACTTTATAGAATACAAATACAGAGGCTGGGAGATTAAGCAGGAAGGCATCAGAACAATCATCTCTGCGCAGTGACACCACAATAAAAGTCTCAGGTCATTACAGCAGGAGTGGAAGTTTTGACAGCCTCACAATGACCATAGAGTAATAGTATATGGCCAAACTCCAAATGCAGAACATAAAAATAAAAATGGTGCTTTACTGATGTCTTAGGTCATCTGGGGTGCGTATAAAAAAATACCACAGACTGCGGGGCTGAAACAACTAACATTTATTTCTCACGGTTCTGGAGACTGGGAAGTCCAAGAGTAAAGCTTCAGCAGATTCGGTGTCTGGTGAGAATCTGCTTCCTGATTCACAGAAGGCCATCTTTTTGCTGCGTCCTTACATGGCAGAAGGTGAGGGAGCTCTGTGGGGTCTCTTTCATAATGGCACTAAATCCCATTCATGAGGACTCCACCCTCATGACCTAATCGCCTGCCAAATGCTACACCTCCTAGTACTATCGTATTGGGGGTTAGGATTTC